TCCATTTTTTCTAATTGTGTAATTTGCCTCCCTTCCCCATTTGTCCTTTTCTCTCTTTTTCCAATTTTGCTAGTTTGTCCACATTGTTCCATTTTGTCCTATTATACTTTGCCCGCTTTGTACCACTTGTCCCCCCTTTGTCCTTCAGCGCATCGCGATTGTTATTTAAAAACTATTGCAAACTGCAAACAGAATGTAATTCTGCCCGTGGATTCCGAAACTTCCAGGGTTGTGATTGGTCGGCAGGCTGTGAATTTCAAAGTGGAATACACGGAGTGTGTCATCGATGTCATTCGTCGATTAAATATACAGCACTCTCTGTCAGCGCTTCCAAAGTGCCTGAATTCTCGCAGAAAAATATTTTGGGGAGACGGCGCAATCACTCGTGCACCGCGTAGCGTACTTCATCCTATTGGCTTCGCCTATTGGCTTCTTTGAGTGGCCCAAACATCTGGAAATCACTCGGGGCAAGATCGGGCGACAAAGGTGGATGTGGGGGCATCAAATCTCAGATCTGCTATAGTCGCAACAGTTGCACGTGCATTGTCGTGTTGCAGCAGAACACCTGCCGATAGCATTTCACGTCGTATCGTTTTGATGGCATCGCTGTTTCAATTGTCGAGGCACCCATTTTGCACCCGAGGTCAGTTGTCGGGGCACCCATCTTGCGGACCCCTTTTGAAATTGGAGCATATCATGCACAATGTGACGTTCTGAACCATGACTAATGTGTACAGCATATGCAATGCCGTCTAATGTCACTCGGCGGTTGTCCATTACGATTGTTTCAACTGCTGCAATGGTCTCTGGAATCACAACGCTGCCTGGCCTGGGCGCAGAGCGTCGGCCACAGATGTCACACCGTTTGCAAACTTCCGACACCATTCGTACACTTGCTGCTGTGACAAGCAGGCGCCATCATACTGAAACTTCATTCGTCGAAGAATGTCAATAGGTTTCACACCTTCACTTCGCAAAAACTGAACCACAGAATTCTGTTCCTCTCTGGTGCACGTTGCTAGTGGGGCAGCCACATCACATTGTTCCTGCGCCGGAGTTTGTGCTTCTTCACAATGATGCCAAATAGACATCTGGCACACTCATGCGAACATGCCTATCAACTTACAGGTTACTAGCGCCACATTTGGATTTTTTTATTGTACTTTGACGGTTTTCCGTTACTCACTCTCGTACATGCAAAATATCCGTTAAACGCTAGTCGCCAAAATATCAATATTACTCAAAAAATGCTTATCTAAATATGACAATATTTATACGAGGGTTGCCTTTTATATTTCAGAATTAGAGAACAAAAACAATTATAATCATCGAAAATCACTTTATTGTTTTTCAAAATATTCCCCATGAAGATCTATACACTTTCGCATGCGTTTGAACCAATTGTCGAAGCACTTTTGCCACTCTGATAGAGGTATCTCCAAAACATGCATTCTGAATGCAGTAACCGCTTCTTCAGGTGGCAAAAAACGTTGACATCTCAGTTTGTTTTTTACGTACGGGAATAAAAAGAAGTCATTCGGTGCCCAGTCAGGACTATACGGCGGATGACTCATGAAATCGATGTTTTGCTGCTGAAAAATGCAGTTGATTGAGCCGATGTGTGAGAGCTCGCATTGTCGTGGTGAAGAGTGAACCGTCTTCGGCGGTTGGTTTTCCTGATTTCTTGGTAGAGAGCTGGCAAACAAATCGTTGTGTACCACTCAGAATCGACTGTTTTGCGTTGTTCTAGTAGTACGGCTGCGACATGTCCCGTGTTTCCGAAAAAAATAGGCGACCATCTGTTTGAAAGTGCTTCGTGCGCGAACAACTTTTCTTGGATTTTGCTCATCTTGAAACACCCATACAGTCGACTGTTGTTTACTTTCGGGCTCATACGCGTAAATCCACGATTCATCACCTGTCACGATGTCATAGACGTGTTTCGAAGCACCGCAATCGTATTTTTTGAGCATTTCTTTCGACCAATCGACACGAGCCTTTTTTTGAGCGATTGACAAATTGTGTGGGATCCAACGCGAACAAATTTTTATGACAGTCAAATGTTCATGCAATATTGAATGTATGCTGGTCTCACTAATACCTAAGGTTGTCTCAATCTTACGATAGGTCACATGACGATCTCGCAATATCAGTTCACGCACTGCATCAATGGTTTTCGGAACAACTGATTTTGGACGACCTTCCCGAAATTCGTCTTGGAGTGAACTATGACCACGATTGAATTCACCATACCATCAATAAACACTGGTTCTTAATGGTGCTTCATCGCCAAAAATTGAATTAAGTTCATACATGCATTGTTGCTGAGTTAATCGACGTGGAAAGTTGTAAAAAATAATCGCACGAAAATGTTCACGATTAAATTCCATTTTTGGGCCATGATGAATATTTTAAGTTACTGTAAACAACACAAATAGCGCTCGTATTTCAAAACGTTCTGAGTACGTATAACCTCAAAACATCCAACTTTACGATAGAGCTGTCAGTTGCCAGATTGGAACAGCAGGGTTGCCAAATCCCGAAACATAAAAGGTAACCTTCGTATCACTGGATACGTATTTCTACGCTCGTCATGATAGACTGAAAAAATGTATAGTTCCATTTGAACAAATAAATAAGTTAATTAAAAAAGTTACTTCAAATATCTCGTAAAATGCAAGTGATAAAACATAAATTAAAACACTATCTATTAGTCCCATTTCCTTATGCATTAGCGTGAAAACTGCATTGCAATAATTTCAACTGTTCAAAAGTTACAGCTTCTAAAGTTACGTGACTCACCATGTATGTCACCATGTATATATTAGGCGAAAACTGCTCGATTTTGCAAAAATTTGTACACGACCTTTTTAAAGAGCTGATTTTTTACAACAAACTTTGAGGCAAAAATCAAAATCTTCAATTTTGTAGTTTTGAAATGTTATCTTTTTGCAATTTTCGCAAAAACAGAGAGATAACCACAAATGGAACTACCATCATACTTTTTACCGTCCCTTATTACATACGAGGAAAACATTTAAAGACAAAATTTGGAGGTAATTTTTGGGCCAATTTTTTTATTTTTTTAATTGCCAAAATTCCACGAAAATTACTCGAAAACTATTTTTGAAAAATTAAACATGACCTTATGTCAAATTGTGTCTTTAAGGAACGTCCTATCTTCAATATTTTAAGTCGTAGAAAGATGCAGAAAAAATTCTGAGTTTTTGCAACTTTCAACAAATCGGGAATTTCAACGAAAATGGAACATCCGCCATTCTCTTAAGCGTCCATTACGCTATCCAACAACAAAATTAATTTAAAAAATTCATTTTTTTAATGTCCGAGGGGCTTCATGTAAAGTACCCCCAGATTTAAAATATCGGTTTCAAATTCCAGGGGCCGCGACATCAGGCAGATCGATGGGAGAATATAAATTTTGAAGAAAATAGGCCGAACAGTTCAGGCGCTAGCGTTGACCACGGACGGACGGACGGACGGATGGATGGACACAGACGTTTTGCAGTCAATCGATTTTTCGGTAAAGATCCACAAAACATGGATTCTGACAACACAATGTATTAGGGGAAGTAATTTACTATATAGGGGCAAGATTTTTCGGTATCGGGACCCGGAAAAGAGTATTTCTGTCAAAAATACGCCGTCCCCTCCCCGCAGAAAAACAATACTTTCACTATTCCCTTTCCCAATTCCAGGTTTGAGACAAAGAACTGTCGAATTTCAAAAAATCAGGATTTTCCCCAAGTTTTGGGGGCTTCGAGGCGCGCCAGCCTGGTCCCATTTGGCGCCTGGGACATCTCGGTTCAGTCCGTGCGCCACCCGCGAAGACCGCCCGCGGGAGTCGAACGGCGGCTAAAGGCTATCAGTTGCTACAGAGCGCCAGGAGAGGTCAAAGGGTTCGACCCGTTCGCTTCCTGCTTGCCTCGTCATCGAACTGAGCCGCTGATACGGTCCCTCTATACGGCCAAATCATGTGCGTGGTATGTGTTTTTGCTGCTTCGCTCACCCTTAGCCTTTTGTATCGCCGAGAAAATAGAGAAGACTTTGTGTAATGTCATAGATAATTTTCTTATCTAATGGATGAAACCCATTGATTGCAAATGGTTACTACTACACGGCTTGAAGGAGTGAAACCATCAATCTTTAGAGCTCAATCCGAGGCTAATGATAATGATCCTAGTTCCTGAGACCGAAAGACGACTTATTTATTTGTCCGCGAGATACACATTATTCTAGCCACTCTAGCCTGCGCCCTTAATGGTGCTTGGGGAAGGCAGGGGGAAACCTTTCAACAACAGTGTGTCTGGGTCCCAGAACTTTGCCGTTTCAATAAATTCCAAAATTGTATGATTGTGCCATGAACTTCATCAAATGCGATTTTTTTAAAATTAGAGAGCCATTCATGTGTCTTTTCCAGAAATGGGTGGTCGTGCTACAGCAACATTTTGAAGATGCTACGCAATTATGATTTATTACGAAATAATCGTTAAAACAGAGTATAAGAGAAAACTTAGAAATCAACAGCGCGTCTTACGATAAAAGAAAGTTCGTTGCTCCGTGAAATTTTTTTATTCATATATTCTGTAGTTAATTTTAGCGTGAGAATCAAGGAAATCCTATGCAGGTAAATAACCTAGAGCTTTTGGGTACGTGGTGATTTCTTTACTCTTTCTGAGAAGTAGGCGAACGAGGTGGTTTACGCTTTTATACCCACACTCTTTCTGGGAAGGTCCGCCTATGCATTGCACGTATGACAGGTGGTAGAGTGATCATGAGGGGATGAATGATATTGATGGAATAATCAAATTATATCCACACTATGAAGAACACCAAAGTTCGTGCTCGCAACCTTCGTTATCCGCGTTCTCGGACATAGCTCGAAGCGCGTCCGTACCGAGTCCGCCTCAGTCTTTTACAGCATTATTATCTCTTTAATTTTTATACGTACATCTTTTAATTACAGTTGATTCAAAAATTACCTGGAGTTTCAATACGTTGGTAGTGGTAGGGGTTGACGCACACTTCGTCCCGCTTGAGATTGAAAGCGAATTCGCAAGCTTCGATAGCCCGAAGTTCGTGGTGAGACTGCAACTCAGGCCACCTCCACAATCTACAGTAGATGACGTGAGGCAATCCCTTACGGTGAGATACTTGAAGACGCCCGTCAAGGGATCTGCGCAAGAAAAAAAAACAACAACAATAAGACGAGTTCCGGAATATACCGGAAGGTAATAGGTATACCAACTAAGAAAGTGTGTACAAGTCCTTTTTCTTGTGAAGTAATAAAACTTTATACTACCAAAAACAATACACGTACCACGTTCATCCGAATAAGAATTATAGATTAAAGATGATGTTTCCAGAACAATTTTCTGATCAGTTTATTTCCAAGATCATCAAGATGCCCACGTTTCTTAGGACCAGCCAACGCGCTTCAATCCCTACTCCTCCACGGACACAAGATTAAAAGTGGTGCCGTCATTCGGAGCGGGAAAGGAGAAGAGGCCAGAGTTAAGGACTATTCACAATACGCATGTTAACATGTGCACAAAACATATGCACCTATATCTAAAATAAACATTGACGTACCATTTGCAACGATCGTAAATGTAAATTAGAACATAATCACTCATCAATATTCTCGATTCATAAATTATATACAAACGAATGACTAATTCCGAGCATTCCGTAAATAATAAAATTATAATAAAAAGAAGAACCAAGCGTCATTTTATTGAAACGAAATGCTTTTGATGTACTAAGTATAAATCGTGGTAACAGCCCGAACATATAGGCACACTTACCAGAACTTCCAAACGCGAGTTTAACCTTAGTAAGTAGTAGGAGATGGAAAATAGGGTTTTCTTACAAATAACTAGGGTCGGATTCTAATGAAATGGCTTTTTTCTTTTCATTTTAGAACAATGCCGTTTAGTATAGAAATTCATTTTATGTTATAACGAAACGAAATTACCCATTTTATGCCTTTTTCTATAGCATTTTTCGTCGATTTCGACTAATAAGTCATTTTTTACATTTTTGCGTTATTTTTACTGCACTTTTTGCTGATTTCATCCATTTTAATATCATTTTAATGGTACTTGCTTCAAACAATTTTTACCAGGTGCAACAAATGTTCACTCCAGAATTGTTGAGTAACCTATTAGATTTCTTCGCTCATATATTGTAATGTCAGTCGTTGCCAACTATGTAATTTAAGGTTCCTGTGACGTTTTATCGGCGACATTGCCCGTTCGGCCGATTTCGCAATAACTGAAGACAGAGATTTTCTTTTAAAAAACAGTCCAAACCCAAAGTTTGCAAGCTGAGTTCACTTATAGAAAAGGAAGAGGTCTCGTTTACATTAGTAACAGCTTGAGTTGTTCATCTAAAGTTGTTTTGATCAAATTTTGTACGTCATTTCTTTTTTAAGGCATTTCTAAAGTATTTTAAGATCATTTCATTGATCATTTATGGCAATGCTTTAGATCTTCAAAATCCCCCTTACTAATAAAAATATAAACAAAATAAAACAATAAAATCTTCTAACTAACCTTTTGCAATATGGACCCCTTTATGGCTCCTCGACTATACAATTATAAATGCTCTTTCGTTAACTGTTAATTTTTGTCAAGAGGAAATGTATGCGGTATTGTTAATTTCGGATGGTTTTAAAAAGAAAATTTTTAATTTGTCGTATGTAACACCACGTGTGCTTTGGAAATCGTCGATACATCTTTGACTAGCGAAGCGAGAAGGGGATTTATCTGAGAATTTCCAAAGCATGATAGGTGAAATTATGTCCAACAAAGTTTCAAAGTGCGCCAAATATTGAAAATAATTGCAAGATATGTTAAAATCAAAGCGTTAATGTTGTAGTAAATACGCGGTTTATTCAACATCTGACAAAGCGATAGATGTCTACAGCCTCCGAAGAAATATGAGTCACTGTTTATGATTGGCCGGTAAGAACAAATGGTAAGAAAAATCCGATAAAGCTTTTTTTTTTTGGATACCGTACTGTTTGGTGCATTTTATACGTATAATTAAACAATACTGATTTTAATTTCACGAGTGGAATACTAAAAAAATACTTCAAGATTTTGAGTATGTTCCACTCCCTCAAAAAAATATTAAAACTCTTGTACATATTTGACACGTAAACACAGGCAGTTTCCTATTAACGCTGTAGAAAAAAATATACAAAAACGTTTTCTGTAAAATGGGGAAAAAGGGGAAGGGGGGATATCAGTGTTTTCTTGGTCCCACACATATTCCACACGGAAATGGTTAAAAACCATTGGGGGCAATTTTTATCTTATTCTTCTAAAGCCTTTCAACATAATATGTCAGAGACTTTCTCATCAGTGTCGTACATAGTTTTTAGCACGAAAAGTAAAGAAACAGGAAAGTTAAGGAAAATGTGATAATAGATTGAAATAGGCGAAGAAAATAAATGAAGTTTAAGAAGTGTACATTAAGTTACAAGAATGTGAAATATGAAGTTTTCGTAGATGAAAATAATTTTATTAATGATAAGGATCTGTTTTATTATTTCTGTCATAGCCGTAAGTGTAGAGAAGTCTCTTTTCTCTTCAGATTTAGGAAATAATGTCATCGATGAGTGTTCCACAGAGGAAAGTATATTTCTAAGTAGAAATGCTACTTGTGTATGGTCTGGGCGATTTATGAGCGCTGAAATGATGAAAGACTACGAATTAGTAGCTAAGTCACGCTTTTTCATTAATACCTTTATGAGAAATAAGAATTTCATATCTTCTTATTAGTTTCCTAGTAAAATATTAAGTGTATGTACGATAAAATTTTAAATCATAGAAAGGTATTCCATTTATAAATACCTTTTTAAGGAAAGAGGAAGCAGATATAGAAGTAAACTCGGTGGTTTCCGCAGAAATCTTGTGCAACTCCATTATTGTAATACAATGGAGGAAAAATAAATTATCTTCCACAAACAGAAGTTATTAACTATTAGTCAGTTACAGCATTAAACAGACAAACATGTTTGGATGTATTTTACTTCATCTTCGGTGTGTCTGCAACATGCTTGTCTGTTTAATGCTGTTAATTCTAGTTTATAAATTCTGTTTGTGGAAAATCAATTATTTTTCCTCCCGTTGCATTATAGATATAGAAGTGTTTAAGTGCATATGATGTTTTAGCTGAAAGAGGCTAGATTTTTCAGGGAGAAATTGTTTCCACTGCGAAGAGAGATAAACTTTTTAAAACTGGGAAACTTTTTTTCCAATTCATTCATATAAACAATTAAACCGTAGGTGGAACGCCGACTCATACAGCAAACGTCAATGTACGGGGGTAATACCTACTAAGCTGGTAACAGCTTTAGTACAATACTGTAGAAATAGCGCTGAAAAATGTAGTTCCAAAATCCATTAAATGAACTTCAAAACGACTACCATTTTTGGCAAATGGCGTTAACTCGTCGTTAACAACTGCAATCAAATTGGGAAAGTGCAATTTTGAGTTTACTATGATTAACAAGTTTGTACTATCAGATTTTTCACAATTTCACTTTTATATGATCTGATAAATATCCGCAATGAAGAACATGTCAATCACAAGAAACAAGATTTATAAGACTATTATCAACAAATTGCTAAAGGGACACACATGTACTGACGGATTCGTACAAAACAGCTAGGTATAGGGAAAAGTTGTTAAAACAATCACTATCTGCGATCATGCATGCACTTTGTACTACAGCCAACAATGTAATAACATACATTCCTAAATTGCATTACAACAAAGATAGAATACAATAATAAAAAATAAACTACATACTAGTCACAAAATATTAGTAACTCATAAAAAAAAAAAAATACAAAAAACACACACACACACAAGATTTCGACACGAAGAATTCATTGTATCAGTATCATATTTATAAAACGAAAAGTAGTATGTACACTTACCTTTCAATGAAGTCACAATAGTTTTAAGTACTACCGCAAAATACATGTGCAATACTGCAAATGTAAATGCATAAAAATATTCCGCAGTATTACGTAATCATAATTTTTGTTTTGAATTTAAATGAGCCAACAAATCAAAATATGTACGAAATAAATCTCAACTTATATTCTAAAATACAATTTAGGACTACTTCGAAATGACTTCGTGAAGAGCATTAACAACAAATCTGTTCCGTCTTTTCACAAACAACAGTCACTACACTAACGTAATATGAACTGTTGAAATATGCAACAAAAAATAAAAATCTCAATTCTACTCGCATAAGTATGCAGATTCAAAATGTCACGCGTTGTACTAAAGCAAACAATATTCCTCATACGATGTACAGTAAATAGACATTATTCAAATTCAAAACAATAACTACTTATACAATAGTACATGTGCACTTTTCTACCATCTATACGTTATACGTATTTGTAAACGGTTCCAGTCCAACATCCTCTACGTTTAAGGTGAGATAATGTTCCTACCAACACGGCTTGCTGGGGATTGCTTCCTCCAGTATCCCCGCCCCTAAGTGTTTCACCACCTCAGCCAGACCACGCACTAAACTCCCGACATGTGTGGTAGTGTAGTATACGTTCATGTGGAATCCCACCTCGCGGATGGTCACCTCGCCCATCCGCGCAGGTTGAGGTCGTATATTTCTACATTAGTCAACAGATAATTTTATCAGTTTCAGCATTACGGAGCTGAAAAAATGAGAAAACAATTGCTTTTCGAACGACAAAAGGTAACCGTGAAGGGAAAAAGGCCTACCGAAAAGCTAGTCTAGACTAGATAGATTAGAAAACTAATTAGAGCGAGAAAGTCTGTGCAATTGTACAGCACCACTAGTGTTATTTAACTATTTATTGTATGCTGTTACATATGAGGAGAAACTAATGAAAATACGTGCGGGTTTTCAGAAAATATTTTTGGAAATCGCAAAACTTTCAGACACTAACTAAACGAAAGCAGCTTGTTAAAAAAAAGTTCATAACCTCTTAAGGAGCTGATTTTTTACTCTTCGTTAAAAAAATCGCTATCTCCAATTTTGTAGTTTGGAAATGTTCACGTTATTTTGACAATTTCGAAAAAAAAAATGTATAGCTGAAAATGAAACAAGCACAATATCTTTTACCGTCCCTTATTACATATGTGGAGAAATTTCAAATAAAA